TAATTTTCTCGAGAAAACTCTTTAACACACCTTTGGCCAACTACGTTTTCCACATCAAAATAACACTTATTATTGTTGTGGCACTCGACGAAGTACATTTCTTCTTGCCCTTTTATTGAATGTGAATGTACTTGTCAGTATTGCTCACGTTCAAACCCCAGTGTAGCTCCAAGCCCAAAATAAGCAACCCTGAATTTCTACCTTTGAACAGTAATTGCTAATTACCTTCTTTGAGGTACATAGGGGAAAAGGGAAGTTAGTGACCTAAAAACACTTTTTATACTTCCTCTTGAGCGAGTATAGGGACGCGACTCTATGAAAGTCCAAGGATTTTTGAAGACACATCAACCTCTTTCAACATCCGCTTATCAATCGGATATGAAGTCCGAATAAACAGGAAGATGTCTTTACGGCAAAAATTTCGCATCCGAAATGCATTGCTTATATCAGAGAAATTCTCGATAACCCGGCTAGGAATGTGAATAAAGTCTAATATTAGGTCATTTCGAAAGTTTTTTTTTTCAATTTTTTAGGCACTCGAAGTTTATATTTCCTGAACTTGGTCAAAGACATGTCAGAAGTGACATGTATATCTTTACTTAGGATATGATCTCTACTTTCTGTCAATACCCAATACTCTTCTTCAAGTCCCTCTGTTGAAGTTTCTATCGAATCAAAAAAGACAATGAAGCGAGATTTTCGGCTCACCGCACTTCATGGGTTCAAATTCATAAAGCAGGCACCGCAACAGCCAATATGCACTGCACTTGGTGAAATTGCACCTACTCCGAGGATAGTGCAAATATGGTTCAGCCTTTTCAAATGTGGGGAACTGACCGTTGATGAAAAGCCTCGATGCGGACATCCTTTATATGTTATAGAAGAGCACTTACTGCAAGCCGTTGATGAAGACCCTAGTTTAGCTATGCTAAATCATCAGCAGGCCTGGGTATCTGCTAGCACAGTTCGTAGCCATCTCCATGAAAATGGCAGAGTAAAAAACTAGACAAATGGATTCCACACGAGATATCGGATTCACAAATGAAAGTGCGCCGCGAGGTCTGCTCTGCCCTAAATCAACGCGTAATGGTGAATCATTTTCCGTATAAGATAGTCAAATGTAACGAAAATGGATCATGTACGACAATGGGAAGAGATCGTCACAGTGGCTGGATGCGAATGAGCCACCAAGAATCGGCCAAAATCAAACAAACACTCTAGGAAGGTTAGTCTCAAGGAAAGCGTAGTCGGAGTTGGCCTTTCTATGTAAAATCTATATCTTTGTGTAGAGCATCAAACGCTGATTTC